ACTAAAATAAATAAATAAATAAATAAATAAATAAATAAATAAATAAATAAATAAAATAAAGATTAAAAAGAAGAAAGAATTCCTGGAATGAGGTAGAAGTTGAACAGTATTTTAAATGATTTAAGTAGAAGCAGCAGCCCTGTTGGAAGAAACCCCACAAGGAAAGACAAATGAGTTGTCCAATTCTACAGTCTTCCTTCCAACCAAGTCTGCATGGGGTCCCCACAGCTTGTCCCCTTCACTGGTCCACCCAGAATCCCCACAGCCAAGATGGAGCCCATCTCTAGCCCATGCCTGTCCTTTTCTGGACAGTTCTTTTTCAGCAAACCCCTGCGGATCCTCAACATCCTCCTGCTGCTAGAAGGCGCTGTCATTGTCTACCAGCTGTACTCCTTAATGTCGTCTGAAAAGTGGCATCAGACCATCTCACTGGCTCTCATCCTCTTTAGCAACTATTATGCCTTCTTCAAGCTGCTACGGGACCGCCTGGTATTGGGCAAGGCCTACTCGTATTCAGCCAGCCCCCAGAGAGACCTGGACCATCGGTTCTCCTGAGTGCCTGGGTGACTCAGGGACAGCATCCAGGCTGCAGCCAGGGGCTGCCTGGCAAGGGGCTGTTGGGGAGGATTGAATAGGGAGAAAAACAAAAAAAAAAAAAAAAAAATCTGCCAGAGCTTTGTATTTTTGTTACGTACTGTTTCTTTGATAATTGATGTGATAAAAGAAAAAAAGTCCTATTTTTATACTCCCAACCATCCTGTGTGCTGTGGTTCTTTCCCTTTTTGACTTGTCAGGTAAAGTCCAGAGGGGTTGGATTTGGGGCTGGAAAGCTCTACCTGTGATTCCTTGGCTTCTGTAGGCTCTGCCTTCTCCATTGGACACGGTGGGGCGGTTCCAGTGGCCATGGTAATAATTGATGTTTTTACTCACTGAATGCTTGCTGTGTCTCAGAGGCTGGACCTTGTACTTGCTAAGCAGACACTTGTGCCACTGAGCTATATCCCCAGCCCCTGCTCCGTATATTTTCATACCTTCTCAGTCTAACTTTTTTCTTTCTCATTATTCTCAGTCTAACTTACGACAACCCCAGCAGCTGTGTGCTGTCGCTACTATAGATGAACTAGAGCCCAGAGAGCTATAGTGATTTGCCCTTGATAACATAGCTAGAAACTAGTAGTGATGGGCATTAAAAAAAAAAAAAAAACAACTCAGAGCTAATAAACTGTCCTAAGAAATGTGATATCTTAGGCCTGGCCAGATAGCTCAGCAGATTTTTTTTTTTAAACTTTGATTTTTTTTTCAGTTGATCTTTTTATTTTTTTATTTTAATTTTATTGGGAAATATGAATGAGACATTTTCACAGACATTTCATTAATAGGACCATTTCGATAGTACGTTGTACATTGTTATCTTCTTAGTGGGTATCCATAGTACAAGAAGCAGACAGGATATCCTGTCCAAACACTATTAGTACACCTCTTTCTTCTCATTGAATTAAGCGAAAGTAGCTGTATATCTATCCTATTTTGTATATATAAATACAAAATGATCTTCCCTTTGTATCCCCTTTTTTTTGTTTAGTTCTGTCAGAGGTGGATATTCTATTGGCATCTAAATACTATAGGTGTTTGAATTCAGCAGCTCAGCGGATTAAAGCGCCTGCTTAGGGACCGGGGTATGATTCCGTGTGCCAGCCCCACCCCTGGGGGGCATGGTGAGACTGAGATTGAGACTGAGGGTGGCGGTGCACATCTGTAATCCCAGCGTTTAGTAAGCTGAAAATGGGAGGATCACTATGGGTCCAATCTGTGTAGTACGACCCTGTAGAGCCTGTACTAAATACATATTAAAAATAAATAAATGTGATGTCTTGATACTCAGCATATAGTTACTACAGCCCTGTTGTGTGCCAAGTATTATTTAGATGATGAAGATACTAAAATGCAGGCAGAGCTGTGCTGAGCTGAGTAAGGTATAGGGTAGCACAGGGGAGAATGGATGGCTCATGCTCTCTGGCTTCTTGAGGGAGCGGCTACTCCAAGTTGTATCAGTCACTTCATAGGTGGACGGAAGGAAAGGAATGCGAAGGAGAGCAAAATGGCATATGCAGTAGTCTGGTATAATTGGATTTATTCTAGTACTGGAGACAACCTGAAGAATATTGCCATCTCTTTTTAATTTTTATTTTGGGACAGAGTCTTGGTATATTGCTCAGGCTGGCCTCAAATATGAAATCCTGCCTCCACCTCCCAAGTAGCTGGGGTTACAGGCATGTACCATTGCACCTAGCTATCCTTGTGTGTTTTGGGAGAGTAAGAAGATTGTGGTTCCTAGAGCAGAAAGGATACAGAAAGAAGGGTAAGGGGTGGTGGGATGACTCAGTGGTCTAAAGCACCTACTTGGAACAAGCTTAGCAAGGCACGGGGACCATGGTTCGATCCCCCAGCACCACATGCCAGCCAGCCCGCCCCTTGGTGGGCTGAGCTGGCCACGTGCGAGCACGCCCGCGCACACACACACACAAGTAAATAAATAAAAAAAAGAGTAAGAGTGTGCCTGAAAAGGACAGCAGAGATGAGGAAAGACCGATGACCTTAGGCGACGGACAGTGTATATGCAGAGCCAAATGCTAGAGTAAAAACAAAGCTGTTTGTAGATCCCAGCTTGCTCAGTACCTACCTAAAATCCTGCATAGCCAGGCAACTGAAGTAGGAGGCTCACGTGTTTGAGGCCCGCTTGGGTAACTTAGTGAGACCTTGTGTCAAAATAAAAAAGCATGGGGGTGTGGCTTAGTGGTACAGTGCCTGCCCAGCACTTGCTATGTCCTGGGGTCTATTCCTAGGGCTGCAAATACAAAGATAGAAGGTCAGCTGATAAAGGTTTCAGGGACTAGAAAGAGGAAATGCAGATGGTATAGCCCACACTCCCTGAGGGTTTTTTGTTTGTTTGTTTGTTTATTTTTGTGGCAGAACCAGGGATTGAACTCAGGCCCTTGCACTTACCAGGCAAGCACTTATTCTACTGAGCCATCTCCCCGGCCCCCTGAGTTCTTACTGGACACAGTATACACAGATGAGCTCAGTGCTGAGTAGGAAACAGGTACCTCAGCATGTTTTTTGGTGCCTCCAGTCAGACACTATGAAACCTTGGGATAGTTACAAAGACAAGATTTTGTCCTTTCCTTAGACAACTGCAGAGACTGACACACCTTGGGAACAAAATAGGGTGTGAAGTGCTGAGGAAAACAAGTATCCAGCCCCATATGTAAATACCACATTGTTTCTCTGGTGTGAGAAACTGGAAAGTGTAAATAAGGACCAAAATGTACAGTACATAATATGAAATAAAATGTTCAAAGGGGAAGGGGAACTAGGGAGGAGAGAGGGGAAAAAGAAGGAAGGTGGAAAACAATGAGAAAAAATGGAAACAAAGTTTTTGTAAATGAGGGGCTGCTGGGCTAGTAGGGGAATGGGAAAGAAATCACGTTAGTAGAGGTATAAATTCTCCATGATGAATATGAGCATTATGTATACCTAAAATGTACCAATAAACTTAATTCAAAACAAAACAAGTGCCCGTGATACTGGGGAAGCAAAGAAGAGAGAGATCCTGATTGAAAAGACAGGCTTCGGCAAGGGCCTGAGTTCAGTCCTCTGTTGGGGGGCGGGGGAGAAAGAAAGAAAGAAAAAAGAAAAGACAGGCTTTTAGAAAAAAAAAAAAAAAAGAGGGCCAGTCAAATAGCACAGTGCAAGCAGGCTCAGGGACCACTGGGGATTCCCTCCCCAGGGCTGCTGTGCCAGCCCACCCCCGGGGTGCACTGAGGCGGCAATTGTGACTGAGTGTGGTAGCACACACATGTGCCTGTAATCTCAGCTCTTGGGAGGCTGTAAACAGGCGGATCACTACGAGTCTGATCTAGTAGTGAGACCCTGAACACCCTCTAGACCCTTCCCTAAAATACAAAATTAAATAAATAAATAATAATAAAAAAAAAACTAGGGGCTGGGGAGATGGCTCAGTAGAATAAGCGCTTCCCTGGCAAGCACAAGGGCCTGAGTTCAATCGCCGATCTGCCAAAATAAATAAACTGTTGATTCAAAAAAAAAGAAAGAAAGAAGACAGGCTTCTTTGAACAGCTAATAGTTAAATCAGATCTTGAAAATGAATAGTCTTATATGGTCAAGGAGCAGAAGGTAGACCTCCACATTAGAAGAACAGGGAGCTCTGGCTCCACACGTCGCACTGGCCCGTGCCCCGCTCCCTGAGCCAGCCTCTGGAGATCAGACATGGTGGCTCAAGCTTGTAATCCCAGAGCTGGGGAGGCTGAAAACAGGAGGGTCACTCCCAGTCCGAGTTTCATAATGAGACCCTGTACCAAATACATAAAGAAAAACAAAAACAGGGAACAAAATAATAAAAACACAAAAGACGATAACATATTTAGGAAAAAGTGGTACTAAATAGGGACCAGCCTGTGTGCCTGAATAAAATGCTTGGACATTTCCAAAGAACAGGCAACGGAGAGGCCAGGGAGATGACTTAGTAGAATAAGTGCTTGCCTGGCAAGCGCAAGGGTCTGAGTTTAATCCCCAGTTCTGCCAAAAAACCAAACCAAACCAAAACAAAAACCAGGCAATGGGAAGTTGCTTAGCAGAGGAGTGATCCAATGATGTCTCTGCGTTTAGATTGTTAGGTGGGAGTGGCAGAGTCACAAGAGTCCCATGAGGGAGCAAAACAAAGAATGATGAGGTCTGACCTTGAGCACTAGCACTAGGAAGAGAAATAGTCTTCTTTTTCCTACCTTTTTTTTTTTTTTTTTTTTTTTTTTTTTTGTGGAACCGGAGATTGAACTCAGGCTCTTGTGCTTTCCAGGAAAGTGCTTATTTCACTGAGCCATCTCCCTGGCCCCCCTTTTTCCTACTTTGGAGTCATGGAGTTTGCCTTTGGAGTTGTCTCCTTTAATGGGCCAGGCATACAACTAGAGTTGGCAAATTGTTGCTATAGGACCAGATAGACACCATGCCCTTTATTCTGTCTTCAAAGGATAGCTAGGTAGCTGGCATCAGCCATAATGTAATGCCATGATACCAGCACTCAGGAGGATTACGAGTTGAAGGGGAGCACCCTTATTCCCCCACCCAAGGGGGTGGGCATGTTGACCGTTCTTGGGATCACTGATTTGAAAAAATATTGCTTGACTTTGTGCATTGAGGTGGAGGACAGGAAGGTTGGTGTGTCATTGTGCAAAGAGGAAGGCCTAATAGGTACCAGCAATCAATTCACTGATTCAAAAGGCACCTGAACACTGGAAGCCTCAATTTCCCTATCATTAAAAAAAGAAAATTTTAATCCCTGTTCTGTAACTCACCCTCTTTTATTTATTCAACAATCAAGTGTAAGGTGGTGTACCAGGTGCTGGAAATAAAGTGGTTTTGCTGGTCCAAGATCCTCTGCCTCTGCCTAAATCTCCTGAGTGCTGGGATTACAGGCATTTGCAACCATGCCTGGCCTGAGATTGCAATTTTAACAAGGGTTTTGGGTTACAGACCATAGTAAGAAAACCTGGGTTTAACCTTGACTTCTCCCATTTCCATCTCTTATAGCCTTGAGCAAGTCACTTTCCCCCTCCAGATGATTCCGTATTCATAATTAGCTTAAGGTGTATAATTGACTTTAATTATTAAAAAGTTTTGGGAGACAGAGACCATAATATAAAGAAGAAATAGCGGCAGAAACACCTATGAACTTGGTATGCTTAACTTTCTTTAGTATGTATCCCTCCTCCACCATTAGTAGTTGCGTTCTCTTTAAATCCGTGCCTTTGGTATAATCTAGGTAAGAAGGGGCGGAGAGGTAGAACGCGTTTCAACCCGGATTGGAATGTTTGTCCGTTTCGGGCTGCCGTCCTGCAGGTCCGCCATATTGTTTGCTGAAGCTGCCGCTGAAGCCGCTGCCGCTCCTGCGGCCAAGTCTAAGCGTGCGGAGCCGCGATGGGTGAGTACGGAGATCAGGCATTTCGGTAGTCGGGCCGAGGAAGTTTTGGGCATGGGGTCTGGCAAGGGCCTGTGTCTGGAGTGAGGAAGATGTTTGAAGGTGCTGCAGGTAGGTTTGAGAAGTGAAACCAGGCCGTTTTGGGGCCAGACTAGGGCTGCTCGCTGAGCAGTCGGAGGCTGGTTCCGGAGACACCTTGGAAAGCCTCGGGCCGGAGACCACGCGTTCCGGGGACACCGAAATGGGCCTACTCTCCGCCGTGCTCTAGTACGGGGCCGGCGGGCGAGCGATCCTGGCCGGCGGCAGCTTCGGGCGCTGCAGGCCGGGAGAACTTCCCCAGGCGAGGCGGAAACTGGGCGATTCGGCTGGGCTCGGGGTGACAGCCTCGTAGTGTTAGCCATCTGCTGAGCCCTCTTGGTCCGTGTATACGGGGGGGACGTCAGGTTTCTGGGCCAACCCTGATTCAAGGGAAGGACCTGTTGCTCATTTTGTGTCTGGCAGGGTCTCTGTCCAAAGACTACGAGGGCGAAGAGTTTGGATTTAGAAACAAAACCAGCATTAGTATCTCCTCTGCTACAGTAAAGGCTTCAGTTTGCTAAGGTCCGTGTGCAAGCATTGTTTTGACTGCCTTGCGTGTCTTTGTTTTGCTTAATTCGTGCAACCTAACGACAGGTCCTGGCGTTGTTCCTATTTTGCAGATGGGAAAAATGAGGCTTGGGTAACTTAGCCAAGGTCACACAGATAATAGTTAAATCAGGTTGAACTCCAGAGCCAGTAAATTATAACTGCTACTGTTTGTGACCCGGCCCTCTAGTGGTTGGGCTAGAAGGGGAAAGCAGGCTTTTAATGTGGGCACACTTTGAAATCGTGAGTCTGAATGAAAGCGGAGAAGCCCCAACTATCTCTTTCCTCCACTGTTGTGTAGGGGTAGCCCAGTGGTGTTCTAGAATTGTGCGTGATTTCCGCCCCTGATGAGACATAAATTGAACTGCAAGGCATTAGAATCGGATCTGGTGTTATAACCTGGCCCGTCTCTTCCAAAAGAGAAGTTACTTAACAGATAAGAGAGTGCCAATAGAAAGTATCTAGCGCGGTCCACAACGTTACTCTCCTTCATTTCTGATCTTTTCCTCTGAAAAGACAGTATTATCAGGTTGTTTGGACACTAAAATGACAGTGTTTGGAGCTTATTTAAGGGCTCGGTAAATTTCAAAACAAAGCCTTTTCTATCTCCAGCGATGTTACTTCCTTCCCCATAAGCCCTGTGGCTTCTAGAATCCGCTGGAAATAAGACCTCTTTTTAGTAGCTACAGCTTTATGTGTTAGTGCAAATTTTTAGTGGGCTGAGTGTGTAGCTTAGTGAGAGAGTCCTTGCCTAGAGTCCAAGGCCCTGGATTCAGTCTCCAGCATGGCAAAAAAAAAAGTGAGAAAGAAAGGAAAACCTTTAGCTTTTATAGTAAGACAATATGAGTCTTCAATTTCAGAAATCTGGGCTCCCTCAAAAAGAAGAGGGAAAAGACCTAGTGTTTATTAAGCTCAATGAAATAAATTTTTTACAGATTAAGAAACCACATCAGGGGGACCCAGGAGATGGCTCAGTGGAATAAAGTGCTTCCCTGACAAGTGTAAGGGCCTGATTTCAATCCCCGGTTCCGCCAAAAAAAATTAAAAAAAAACAAACAAAAAAACAGAAAAGAAACCACTTCAGTGAAGATAACATAGCTAATAAATAGCCTAACTAGGAGTGAGTTTGGTTTTTTGTGTCACCTTCTACCCCCATCACTGCAGTTTGAACCCCGGACTTTCTACACTTAGCTGGCCTCAAATTTGTAATCCTCCTGCCTCAGCCTCCCAGTGTACTGAAATTAGAGGCCTGCACCACCACACCCAGCTGGACGTGAGATTCTTACCTATTTGCTATACATAAATCTCTTAAGAAAATTTAAGGGCTTCTCATTAAAGGTGAAAGTTCAGTGGAGCATCAAAACCTGCCCGGGACCTGAAGAGAATTTTTAGTCTAGCACTGTAGTGGCAACCATGTTTTGGCAAGCTGTTAGCTGTTATTGAAAGCTCTAAGAGGTTTGCCATCACTTTTCTAGATGCAGGTAACTTCTCTCACCTTGTCTATCCAAGGTACTTTGGGTTGTCTGCATTTACAGTGACAAACAGAAGTTTGGGGAAGATTGCCTGTGCCTAAGGTGGTAATTTAGACCCTTTGGGTGCTGGGGATATTACCCTCACTTCATTTCACTGCGTTTCAATTTTATTCTTCAGCTCTGGACTTTGGCCACCACTGTCCTATACTATTTCTGTTGTGCTGGACCTTAGCAGAACTTCGTAGTGATTTCTCTGCCATTAGCAGCACTATATGGGTGATGCTTGTACTCTCCCTAGCAAAAGCTTCCACCTCTTGTGTCTTGGCAGAGACGCTGCTTATTTTATCACCATTCCCACAGCTTGCTATCTTAGTACTGTATCTGGCAGCTCCCCCTCCAACCCCCAGGGTTAGATCTTATTTAATATAAACCCTAGGGCCCGGGGAGATGTCCCAGTGGAATGAATAAGCACTTCCCTGGCAAGCCCAAGGGCCTGAGTTCAATCCCCGGTTCTGCAAAAAAAAAAAAAAAATTAATATAAACCCTAAACCCTGTCATAATTTTGTCTCCCTAGAAAGTGATTGATTTAGGCACAGACATATGATGCAGATCTGGCTAATTGGATGTGAAGAGAAGCCTGGGGGCTTCTGGAGCAGCTTTTTTTACTTAAAATAGTTTACCAGTCTGGGGGCTTTTGTTTGCTTTGTTTTGCCAGTTTGTATTTTAACTCATGCTTCACCAAACTGAGAGTCTTAAAAAACAAAAAAAAGATGACAATAGTGTTTATGTGGAACTGGCTAAATGCTAGGTATTCTTATACAGTTGCCTTGTTTTTGGTCTTTTTTATTTTACTGTATTTTTTTTTAATATTTATTTATTTTTTGGCAGAACCAGGGATTGAACTCAGGCCCTTACACTTGCCAGGGAAGCGCTTATTCCACTGAGCCATCTCCCTGGCCCCTTTGTTTTTTTTTTTTTTTTTTTTTTTTTTTTTTTTTTTTTTTTTTTTTTCTTTTTTTTTTTTTTTTTTTTTTTTTTTTTTTTCAGAACCAGGGATTGAACTCAGGTCATTTCGCTTGCCAGGCAAGTGCTTATTCATCACTGAGCTATCTCCCTGGTCTCCCTGGCCCCTTTGAATTGTGTGGTGTTTTTTTTTTTTTTTTTTTTTTGCAGAACCAGGGATTGAACTCATGCCCTTGCGCTTGCCAGGCAAGTGCTTATTCATCACTGAGCTATCTCCCTGGTCTCCCTGGCCCCTTTGAATTGTGTGGTGTTTTTTTTTTTTTTTTTTTTTTTCAGAACCAGGGATTGAACTCAGGCCCTTGCGCTTGCCAGGGAAGCACTTATTCCACTGAGCCATCTCCCCAGCCCCTGTCTATTCCTTTTAGAAGTCCATTTTTGGATTGGATCTTTAAACTGAGCAGGGGGATTGATTTCTTTTCCTTTCTTTTTTTTTTTAAGTTCTTTATGTTTATTCCAAGTGTTAGTCTTTTGTCTGAGGAACAGCTGGCAAAACTTTTTTTTACCACCTGTAGGTTGTCTCTTCACTCTCGGTTGTTTCTCTTGCTGTGCAAAAAGGTTTTTTGTTGTTGTTTTGTTTTGCAAATGCTTTTTAATAGGATTCCAGTTATTGGTTTCTTTTGTTTGTTTGTTTGGTTTTTTGGCGGAACCAGGGATTGAACTCAGACCCTTGTGCTTGCTACGGAAGCGCTTATTCCACTGAGCCATCTCCCCGGCCCCCCAGTTATTGTTTGTGATAGCTCCTGCCTGATCAGATATTCATTCATAAAGTCTTTGCATACACCAGTGTCAGCAGTTCTACCTATTCTATCTTCTAGCAGATGGAGTGTTTGAGTTTTAGTATTTAGAGCTTTGATCCATTTTTATTTCAACTTAGTGCACAGTGAAAGATATGGATGTAGTTTTAATCCTCAGCATGTAGAAAGCCAGTTTTTCCAGCAACATGTATTAAAGAGGCTATCTTTGTACCAGTGAAGCTGTTTGGCTCCTTTGTCAAAGAGAAAGTGGCTATGTCCAGAGTTGCTTCTGCGTCTTCCAGTCTGTTCCATTGAGTCTCCAGTCTGGTTTATTTGTACCAGTGTCTTGGTGTTTCTACCACAGTAGCTCTTTAGTGTTGTTTCAAGTCAGGGTTTGTGATGCCCACTGTCTTGCCTCTGCTGCCCAGAATTGCCTTTGCTCTTCCAGGTCTCTTCTGGTTCCAAATAAATCTGCCAACACCCCCACCCACCCCCCCATTTCCCGGAACCAGGGATTGAACTCAGGCCCTTGCACTTGCCAGGCAAGCGCTTATTCTACTGAGCTATCTCCCCGGCCCTCTCCAAATAGATTTTAGGATTGTGTTCTCTAATTCTGTAAGATATGCTGTTGGAATTTTGATCACAATTACATTAAATCTGTATAGCAGTTTAGGAAGTATGGCCATTTTCACTATATTGGTTCTTCCTACTCAAGAACAAGGGATATGTTTCCATTTCTTTTTTTTTTTTTTTTTTTTTTTTTTTTTTTTTTTTTTTGTGGAACCAGAGATTGAACTCAGGCCTTTGCACCCCTCCATTTCTTTTTTCTTTTTCTTTTTCTTTCTTTCTTTTTTTTTTTTGCCCCTCCATTTCTTGATATCCTCTTCAATCTCCTTTTTTTCAGAGTGCTGCAATTTTCTTTTTTTCTTCTTTTGTGGAACCGGGGATTGAACTCAGGCCCTTGTGTGCAATTTTCAATGGAGAGGTCTTTCACTTCCTTTGTTAAATTGATTTCTAGTTTTTTCATTGGGGTGAGTGCTGTTGTGAAAAGTGTTGCCTCGGCTGCTCTTGAGCTGTAGATCTTCCTGCCTCAGCCTCCAGAGTGCTGAGATTTCAGGCATGTACCACTGCATCCAGCTATAAATATTTCTTAGTCTATGTTTTATAAATTTTGCTTGTTTGTTTGAGACAGGGTCTCACTATGTAGTCTAGGCTGTCCACAAACTCACAGTTATCCTCCTGCCTGAGCCTCTGGAGTGCTGGGATCACATTTATGCACCACCATGACCAGGCAGTTCTGTGTATATGAAATAACATTTTTGTTTTAAAATGTATTTTAGGGGCTGGAGAGATGGCTCAGTGGTCTAAAGCACCTACTTGGAACAAGCTTGGCAAAGCACAGGGACCTCAGTTCGATCCCCCAGCACCACATGCCAGCCAGCCCCGCCCCCTGGTGGGCTGAGCTGGCCACACACACACAC